AAGCGGGGAACTTCGTGTACACCTTCGAACTCACACCGGTGACAAACCCTTCGAGTGTACTGTGTCATCAAAATCTTGTAAGTAAGTTGACAAGTTAGTTTTTGACTTCGAAACCAACATATGTTGTTAAAGTTGGACGTTACTATGGGATCCCATGTGCTCAAAAGAAATTGTTGAAAGAATATCTTCGTTTTGCCTCTCGTTTTCCTGTACACCTTTTTACAAAAATACGTTTTTCTAAATGCCCGCTATCTCTCATTAGTTTTCTCTTCATAACGTTGCAAACCGTAACATATTGTAAAATTTATCTGTTCACTCGGTTAATCGACGTCTCAGCGAGCTAACGTGACTACCGTACCTCGCTGGAGATGTAGCCTGGAATACCGCCGCTAGGCGATGGTGATTAGCGGGGGACCCTAAACAGAGCAGAGGCGAACAGAGAAACAGTGCAGGTTCCAGCGCGAAACCACGGACGTGTCCAGCACTAGCTGGGGCGCAGGGGGATGGTCCGTTCGCGGACTGACGTCCCACCGAAGTTACCGGTGATTCAAGTTCATGTGAACTGACGTCCTAACCCTCGTTGAAGTTGAAGTTATTCTCTGGCTCGCTCGCTTCTTCCTCTCCGCTCGCCCGGCAGCGAAGGCAAGGCCACCACACCACAGCTGCCCGGCCGTCCCCCCCCCCTTCTCTCCGCGCGCAGGCGCGGTGGCCGCTGCCGTCGCCTCGGGAACCAGAGGCGCGCCCGAGACGCCAGTTCCTCATCAGCAGAGTGGCGCAGTGGAAGCGTGCTGGGCCCATAACCCAGAGGTCCGAGGATCGAAACCTTGCTCTGCTAGTATCTTTTTTTTTTGCTCCGCAGCGTATTTTGTACCAGGCTTCGTAATATCACGAAACGCGGTTTCTCGAGCATGTAATGCTGCTAGGTTTCCCAGTCTTTTACAATTTCCCCTTTGTTCACCTAGAGTCCTGGACACTGTGTTCACTTAAAGGGGCGCCAGCTACAAGTTTAGCCTTCCCTGTGCTTTTTAAAAAGAATTCCCGCTACCGAGTAAAATTTTTACACACCCTGAAAACGGATTCAAAATGAAAAACAATGACAAACTTACTTTGAAAGGAATCAAATTTTTCAAACTTTTTTTCTTTTTTTTTTTGTGATTTTGTTTTTACAATTTGCAGGAAAAGTTCCGGTATTCTAGAAAATTTCTTTTTGAATTGAAGTCACGGTGTGAGGGCCAATCCCTGGTCGTGGGGTATCGCCGTGCCTGCGCGAGGGGTACTGCCGCCGTCGCTATACCCCGCACCGCTCTCTGTGGGGGAGGGTTGTTCTACTCCTGGAGAGGGCGAGGCGCCCCGCTGGCACCGCTCGCCGCTCACGCCAGTGCGCAGCCGGCGTCCGACCCTTACGCATCCCAGCGCCGCCACGAGCTCACAGAGGCGCCAGCCCCGCGTAGTGTTTCGTGCCGACACTCGCGCCCGCCGCGCTCCGCCACGCCACGCCAGCTCCTAACGAGAAAGTTAGTAAGGAGAAGAAGACGACGCGATCGCGCATTTTGCTTTGATTGAAGCGAAGCAGCCACAAGCGGCTCCCCGCCGCGTCGCCTGCGATCCTGTACCGTTGCATGGTATTAATACACACTGTCTAGTGCCCCACCCTATGAGCATTGGGCCCCAGGCCTATGGGATCCTGCACATGCTACGTGTCCCAGGGAGGAGGGTAGGGGGTTCCGAAAGGGTCACGACTATACCATTAGGGTCCATATGACCCAACAATATTTGTACCCCCGAGTGGGTGCAAGTGCAAATACAAATATGTGGTCCCTATGAACTCAAAAAAGGACCCTGAAGTCAACGAGGGCCATTACATTTTTACCCCCGTCTACGTAGCACGTGCTTGACCGCCATGGTCCTCATGTCTTCCACCCTTAGGGGCTACAAGCCGTGCTGATACACTGTAAATTTGGGGTGTCCAGCATCTGTGCGCTCTAAGTTGCACGACCCAGGTTTCTGTGCAACTTACAGCGCACAGTTGCTGGACACCTCGAGTATTGCCACCCTATAACTGCAGACGGGCCCCGGCAAGGGGTGTCCAGGCACAGGACACCCTACCGAGGCTGGGCCTGGACCCTTTGCAGGGAAAGGGTGGCAAAACTCGAGGTGTCCAGCAACTGTGTGCTGTAAGTTGCACAGAAACCTGGGTCGTGCAACTTAGAGCGCACAGTTGCTGGACACCCCAGATTTACAGTGTAGACATTGGGGGGGGGGGGGCTACCTACCTAAATAATCATGGAGCCCTATGCCCCGCAATCGGGAGAATAGAGCAATCGGGGAGGTGCGGTGCGGGGAGTTCTCATCGTGTTGCGGTTATTATTCGTGCGAATTGGGGCCCGCCTCAGCCCGCGCGCTGAAAGGCCCGCCCCGCCCCTGGCTGCAGCCCAGTCCGTGCTGCTGCTGCTGCTGCTGCCTGCTCGGCAGTGCCGCTTTTGAAGTAAAAAGGGTTTCGGACCGCCCGCCCTGGTCCTGGCCTGGCGGTGGAGGCCCCCGTCCCTGTGGCCGTGGACGGGGCGAGGTCCGCTCGTTCCGATCGGAGCGGGGTCGCCCAAAGCCAGCAGAGCCTCGGGGTGCTGCACAAATTGCGTAAACATTTAGTGGAGGGAAGGGTTTGGCGTGCGTGTGCTTGTGTGTGTGTGTATTTGTGTGTACGTGAGCAGGGTGTGCTCCAGTCACGGCGGCCTCGCATAGAGAGTTTAAGGACCGTAACGACCAGCAGGGATTAAGTTAAGGTTTGCGACCGCTATATGTGGTAAAGCGTATTAGGTCGCGACGAGTCGAGCGGCAGCGCCGTCGCGCCCATGGCGCACCACCACAGCAATGTTGTCCCTCCGCCGCTACCGCTCTTTTGTTGAAGTTGTGCCCGCCCACCACAAAAAACAATGTCTGACTTTTTGAGGCAAAATTAGGGAAAACTTTGTGGAACTTCCATATTTGAGGAACAACTCCTCAGTTTTTGAGGAAGTCTCTTCAAAAAATAAGGGAATTATCCTCATTTTTTGAGTAGACTTCCTCAAAATCTGAGGAGTTTTTCTTAAATATGGAAGCTCTTAAAAGTTTTCCCTTTCCCCTTCAAAAATCAGACATTGTTTTTTACCGCGTGAACGTTGAATGTTTCCCTCTCACTCCTTCGTCCCGACCCGGGCCGTATCTAGGAAAGAATGAGCAGTGCCCTGTACAGCTGCACGCGCCAATGCTCCCTCCGCTGCTGCTGATGCCTCCCACCAGCCTGCCGGTACGGCAGAGCTCTGCTGACTTCAAAGTGTCAAAATTGCTATTCCGAAACTAGAACCGTATTGGGGAGGGGGGACAACCTGCGTGCCGAGTCATCGGTAGTGGTAGTACATATTAAGTAAAGAGGGTTACATTGGGAATAATGAAATGTCTCCATTTTGTCATTTTGTATACTTGCTGATGACAGCCGCTTCTTGCTCGTTAAAAAAAACTTACTGGGTCGATCTAAAGTGTAAAGATAAATAAAAGATGATAAAAAAAAAACACATTACTTTTACAAATAAAAATCCTAACTTTACTGCAGTTTTCATGAAAATTTTACTCGGACGTGCCAATATTTTTCTCTGCGCTACTGTCAGCAGCGGCCCCCTCGCGCCAGCCCTGGGTCCGCTGCCTCGCCTCCTATTTACCAAGCCTGTGTGTCGAAGGGCGCGCGTCCAGCGCGGGGGGGCATCCCGCCCTTTTGCCCCCGATCCAGAGCGACAACGAGAAGGCTGTCGAGCATGTGCCACTTACGGTGACATATTTCACGTTTTAAGTTGATCCTCCCGGCCCCGCCTCCCGGTGGCAGCTTCCATCCCTTTTTCTCCCCCCCCCTCCCCTCCCGCGCCGGCGTTCCTGCAGGAGACCCACAATTCATCGTCGACCTGCATGCTAGGAAAAGCCAGCCACCTTCGAAATGGACATGTTTATGTATGTGCGTTTGTGCGAGCGCTGTGTGTGTGTGTGTGTGTGTGTGTGTGTGTGTGTGTGTGTGTGTGTGTGTGTGT